ATATATAATTATTATCTGAAATATCGTACAATTTGTTTGTAGTATTTATTTCACTCTCGATTACAGAGGAAAATGTGTTTTTCGTATTACTTTTAATTTTTATAATATTTTTTTCATTCGTAACTAAACTAAACTTTTTTTCAATTATTTTTTCCATATTTTACTCTTAAATTGTTTTCTATAAATTTTTACATGTATTTCGAAATTTCTTATATATAATATGTTTTTTCCAATTTGTTTGTATATAAAGGAGATTATCACTGATTATTAGATAATCCAAAAAATTATAGATATTTTTTCGATTCTCACATTTAATATAATAGTATAGAAAAAAGGCTTTTATTATAATATCTATAAAACAACTCTTTTTATTATGAATGTACTCTAAAAAACACTTTACTTTCGTTCAGTTGTTTGACAAAACTTTTGTTTGGTTTTACAATAGTTTTTAGTGTTCATTAAATGGGGTAATCATCTAAAACCATCAATTCCGTTACTGCTTTACAATCGTATATGTATTATAAATTTACTTTTGTTTAAAATTGTATTGATTGCTAATTCATTATATATGTACACTTAATCATAAAACTTAGCCTCACTTTTTCAAAAGTTTCAAAAACTTTTTTCGTTTCGTTTGTCGATATATAGTAATTAAAATCCAGTAGTTTTTACATCACTTTTACGGGTAAACTCTATGGTATGTATAAAAAAGATGATGAGATATCGAGAGAGAGATATAGAGAGAGAAAACGAGACATTCATTCCCGTCTTTCCCCTCCATTTCGATGATTAAAAACCTAAAAACTTGTGTTAAAAATAACGACTATTTTGTTGCGTAAAAGTGTTGGAAGAGTTGGAGTTGGTATGGGTTGGGCGCCGACTGTTGCTGATGTTGGTCCAGGAGCTGTTTATAGGCGGCGAGCTCAGCCCCCTTAGCGCCGCCAAACTGGGCGGCCGCCGCCGCGGCCAACAGGTGCTCGGCGGGTATGCCGGCGCCGGGATAGCCGCCGGACAGCAACGGGTGACTGGCCGCCAACATGTGTGGGGACAATTGACTCATGGCGTTGGGCGGCGACATGTATGGCGAACCCCCGGCCGCCGAAACACTCGGATGCAGACCAGAGCCGTACCAGAGGTTTGGCGACGAGTACAGGAGTGGGTTGAATGCGGGCAGCGATGGGTTGTACTCGGATATAGCCGGCGCCGCGGTGGTGGTAATGGTGTTTTGGTGGGAGGACTTCGTGTGCGCCATTGTGGGCACGAGGGATGTGGGTATGGATGGCAGCGCCGACATCATCATCATCGATGACGGACTCAACAGTTTGGCGGATAACTCGAGTTCGGCGGCCGAGTGGGCCGACCGGACGCTGGGACTGGACTGCCGGTGCATTGACGACGGTTTCGACGACACGGGCGATGATTTGGTCGACGAGGACGACGTCCGGTGACTACTGGGGCTGACGACACAGTTATACATCGACTGATGCACTGGCGATGGCGTCGACTGCGAGACAGACGGCTGACCCGACGAGTGGCGCACCTGTGGCTTCAGGATGGCCGCTGGCGAGTGGGCCGACAGGTTGTGGTGGTGTCTGTCGTGGTGTTTGATGTCCGCGGCCATCATGTCTCGCGAGTTGGCTTTCAGCTGATGCGGTGACACCTGTTGCGGGACTGACTTCTGGTACGACTGGTGGTGGTGTTGACCGCTATTGCTGTGATGCTGGGACTGGGAGACGGAGGACTGGTAGGCGTTGTGATGATGGGGCGAGAGATGGACGTGCGTGGATGTGGTGTACGACTGTTGTTGCGGTGTTTTATTGGGTTTGTTGTGATTATTAACATATTTCTGTGGGTCAGCCGCCGGCGCGTACGGCTTAGCACTGCCGGCGCCGCTATTGTGGTGGTGGTGGTTGTGGTGATAATGAAGTGACTGTTGCGAAGACTTCTGCACACTTTGAGGAACACTATTGACTGGTTGTGGGCAGAGCTTATGGGGCGGCGTTTTGGGCTGAGAGGGCGCCGGTGGCAGCGGAGTGAGCGACCGGTGCTGCAGCGCCGCCGCCATCGACATCGCCATCGGTAGGGATGACATGAGCGGCGGCGTCAATGAGTGGCTGATTCGGTGGTCGCCGCCCGAGACGGTCAGGAGGTGTTTGGCTTTTGGCACGTCGTGTTTGGGCGCATCCATGAGCTCCAGCTTACGCTTCTTGACGCTGAGGTCGAGCCCGTTGGCCGAGCCGTCGATGAGCGCCTGCGAGGGCGACGTACGGCTGTCCGCCTCCAGACACCGCTTCTTGACGCTCAGGTCCAGCACGTCGTTGTATACCTGCGCCATATCTGCCGGCGCTTTCTTGCCGGCCATTGCCGTCTCGCACTCGACCCGGTATAGCGCCGACTGGTATGAGTGGGCCGGTATGGGCAGCGACTCAAAACCCTTGGTCTTGTAGTGGGTCTGCGGTGTATATTGTGTGGCAATCAGTGGATTAGTATTCGTTGTCTTAATCACGGTTTGTCTGCGGTTTGACGACATATCGTAGGACTTGTCGTACGCCTTGTCGTAGCCCTTCTTCATCTGTAGGGGCGTTATGGGCGACGACGCGAAATGGTGTTTGGGAGGCGTGAGACTGGGCGTGTAGGTGGCCGTGCCGTACGGGGCGGCGGCGGTGGGCATGGAGGGCGCCGGCGGGGCTGTCGGGGGCGGTGATGTCAACTGGGGCTCCGTCTTGACTGAGTTGACGAGCGTGGAGATGGAGAAGAGGGGAGAGGCGGCCACTGGGAAGGCCGTGTTGGTGGCGATGTTGGCCATCGCCACCGATGGTATAGCACTTGCACTGCCGGCCAGTATGGGGCTGGCGGTCATTAGCAGCGGTTTGTCCACCTTTTGGCCGCACTTCGCGTCGACAATGGGTTTCGCCGGCAGTGAAGACGATTTGGCCATCGATTCGGCTTTAATATCACTTATGGGGTCGTCGTCTTCGTCTATATCACTGACAGGACTTAAATGGATCACAGAATCGGACGCTTTCGGGTCGGCGCCGGTTTTGGTGTCGACCGCCAGCGCTGACACAGACTTCTTGGTCGCCGCCGACAACGGATCGAAGGTATTGTCATCTTCTTCGGTGAGGTCTTCGCGTTTCAGATCAAACAGCGATGAGGTCTTCGGCAACGGTTTATCCGAGTCCTCCGTATCGCTGTTCATGTCATCGACGATGCGCTGGACGTCGCGTTTGATGGACATCGACGTCGAGTCCTCTTCGATGTCGCGCTTGAAGTCCATGTCTTTGATGTCGGCGTCGCTGCCGACGTCCTGGCCGTCGGACGCGTCGTTGTCATCATCTTCTTCTTCGTCGCTATCTTCTGGCGACGAACTGCTCTTCACTTTCGAGAGATTCAGTTTCACGATCAGTTTGGGCTGCTTTTTACTACCGGTGCTGTCGTTATCGTCGTCTGAGACCTCTTTCGGCGACTCCCGGCCGCCCCCCTCTCGGGACGAGCCCTTATCGGGCGTCGACACCGAATCGCTATACCCATCGTCATCGTCGCCATTATCTTCGTGAACACTGCACTTACTGCTACCCTTCCCTTTGGGCACACCATTCACTGTCTTAGTCGATGAGGACTTCTTCTTACTCTTGACGCCGTTGACGGCACTGCCCTTACTCTTGGCTTTCTTACTGCCGGTGCTACTGGTGCTCGTCGTCTTGCGGCGGGTCTTCTTCTCGCACTCGCCGTTCAGGTGCCTCTCGAAGGGCAACAGTAGCTTCTCGTAGTGGCGTCGGGTGCACGTGGCCGCGGATGTACTACCCGGGTCACCGCCCATGGCGTCGTATAGCTTTTTCCACAGCTTATTGCCGGTGATCTTCTCGTAACCGCCGAGTTTCTGGCCGTGACTCCAGAAGAAGAATAGATCAACTGTAGGGGCAAAGGGGACAGACATGTGGTTAATATGTGCGGTGATAATGGGTTTGTTTTTTGTAATCAAAGTTTTTGTTTGGTTACAAGTTTTTTTGGTCAGTTGTGTGAACACTTGTGTTTAATTATATTATATAAATCAGACGCTGTTTTGTTATAAAGTTTTTGTGAGTTTGGAAAATGGGTTTAGATTTTTGGTTGATACAATTAATAGCAAAATACATTTTGTACCTATAATAAATAGCTAGGTGTAGATATTATTGCGGGAATTATTTGTATAATAAAAGTTGTATGAGTTTTACAGATATATTATAAATAAAATTTTAAATATTTGTATTTAATTATAACTAAAAGCATTACGTGAATTTTACTCGAAATACTTTTCTCGGACTCTCAATAAACAAATAAAAACTATTTTCCAATAAATTTTAAGTGAATTATTTTTTTATTTACGTAAAATTCCTTGAATTCTTTGTGCATTTGAATACTTTTTTGTTGAATTTTATTTTATTTATTTATATTTTGAACGAAATGTATGAAAAGAATTTATCGTATGAATACATTTGATGTTAATTTTTCATATATTATTCAATATTTTCACTCTTTTACTCATTCATCCCTATCCACTCTCTAACAGTGTGTGTATGTCTCCTATCAAGTGATTGACTCTAATTAAGTATTTGTTAACTAACGAATAAAGTGATTATTGAACTCCCTTTCCCCTCATCTATCCCTACAATTGCTTTTCCCATTCAATTCACTATTTATCTAACTATTAATAGCAAGTAATACTAACAGAGCTATCGTTTAATCAATACTTACGAGAGAGAGAGAGACTGCGAGAGAAATGGGATTCACTTCTCTCTCTCTCTCTCTCTCTCTCGAAATTCTATAATTCTATAGCGATATACTGAATACACACACAATGTGTTTGTTAAAGAGCGAGAGCACACTGTTATTTATGTATTGTATAATAAACTCGTATATTATTTAAGCAAATGATTAATTATATTCTTATAACACAAGTGTACACAAGGAAAAAAATCGCGCTATAATTGAGGCGAAAATAGCGTATATTACTGCATATAATGGCAGAGAAAAAGTTAAGTGAGAGTTAAGGAGTTAAAGGGATCGGTAGGGGATGTATGGGAGAGAGAGAAAGAGGGAAAGGGATGAGGAGAAGGACTGAAGAGCCAAAGAGAGCGAAAAGTTTGAGTGAATTAAAGTGTTTTGTATTCACTCATAATGTGTTACATAATGGTGAAGGAGAGTGAGAGGGAAACTTGGAAAGTGAATGGGAAAGGGAGAGAGGGAAAAAGAGGGAAGTCATATGCAAACCAAACACTGGGACAGTATGTTAGGTAATAAATAATATAGAGATTGATTACTTTGTTTGAAGCCTAGATGAGGGACCCGTTGGATCGGTGTCTTGCGTTCGCGCATAAACTTATTGAGATGTTTGAGAAATGTCTGCTCATTCTTGACGCACATCTCCTTCAGCTTAGCGCCGGTAGCCGTGGCGGACGCGTCGTCCGTCCAGTCCTCTAAGTCCACAGTAGTTCCCAAACTATTTGTATTCCCAGTATTGTCGCTATTACTGTCATTAGCGGCCGTATTATTATTATTACAGCCGTTATTCGTGTGATTATTATTGGCGTTATTATCGTTGCTATTATTACTACTATTGCTACCATTCTTGACATAACTGTTCCGTCTCTGAACGGCCGTCAACTGTCTCTCCGAAGCCTTTTCCGTCGAATTGCTCTTATTTAGGGCTGACCTCCGAGTGGTCCTAATCTGCGAGGTTTTGCTCTCATCAGACGTGTTGGACTCCGGCGATGAACTCCGCTGACACCCGGCGCCCCCATTACCCACGGGAGTGCCGTTATTACTAGTGGTGGTTGTGGTGGATGAGGGGGTGTTTGTATTGCCGGTGCCGTTGGCGGTACCGCTATTGCCATTATTGGTGCGAATGATTGCTGTGGTCTTCTTGCGGGGACGACCTTTCAGTTTAGGGGCTGATAGGGGACAGACATATGGAGAGGGAGAGAGATATAAAATAATTTCATTAATGCCTTGTATATAATACTAGTAAATAATATAATTATATGTGTTTTTTGTGTAGACAATAGACGTTGGAATTGAGAGCTAAATAATCGATGGTTTTTATGGGTTATTCTCTATACGAGTATTGATTTTTAGTCTCGCTTTTTATGTCTGCAGTTATTTTCTCGTGAGACAGGCTTTTGAGGTTTGAATGTTTGGGCAAATGAGTTATACAACATATTTTAATACAATAATAATCATGACTGACTGTGTGATTATGATTAGTAGCGTAAGTATTATGTAATGAAGTTTATTAATCATACACACAAATAAATGCTAAAAAACAATTTTTCATTATTACAGTACCCACTAGTAATGAATATGAAAAGTTTTTACGCGATTATAATATTGCTATAATTGCTACATTAAACAAGTTAAACATATTTCGCATCCAATCTTGTATTTCATAAGCCTTTTTGAGCAAAAATAAAAGCGAAAATTATTTGTTTAATAGAAAGTTTTTTCTGAGAAAAAGGTTAAAGAAAAGTAAGAAAAACGATATTTTTTGTAAATATATTTTAAAAGCATTTGATACGAGAAATAAAAGTACAAAATGTTATTTAATAAATATATAAAAAGTATAAACGGGTAAAAAGCGAGTTAAATAAATAAATATCTTGTGATCCCTAATGATAGCTTAAGAATGAGAAAATATTTTATATATAAGTTATAAATATATTTTTCTTGATCTCTCACTTGATATACAATACACTAAACGACTTGTAATACTAAACAAGAGATTTAGAGTAAGAAAATAGCGAACAGAATATTATGTGTGTATATGTATTGGTTATAATAAAAATAAACTATTTTTACACACATTTTATAAATATATAACACAAATAGTAATACAAAAAATACACTGGCAAATGGTATTTGTCTGAAAATTTCTCAGTCTAATAAATATACAGTAAATACATTGTAGTTGTTTATACTATACTTGAAATACAAACAGAATTAACAGAATATAAAATACAATTTAATATAAGTTGTGGGCTAAGAAAATATATGTTATTTGATTTTTATTGATTACAAAATTGAGGTAATCGAGTAATACATATATGAATATCAAATAGGCTTACGAGACGTGTCAAGGATGTTGTAATTTGTAAGGGAGTGGGTGGTGGGGAGGGGGAGGGGATCAATATATCGGTACAACACGGCGACAGATACTCAAAACCATAAGTCGATACCTAAGACCTCGATAAACCACTCGATATGATACATAAAAACATAGATATTTTTTTATAGATTAACTTCGGGCTCACAAACGCCGCTATGATTTGATTAATATCTCAATTCTTGAGACAGATTTGCGGTATTATTGAACCAAAAACTATATCACAAAACAACTAAAACACAACTAATTTCTTATTCAATGCCTAATACCAAACTACTCCCAAATATATTACCGTCTACTTTGCGTACGGTATTAAATCCAATGCCAATAAACACACATAAGATTAGCATGGTAACTTATAAAACTCACCCAAATGGTCGCAATTGAGATCATTCTGGAGGAGGGCCTCGTGTTCAAAGGTGTCCCTACAGAACACGACATTCAATTTGTTGGTTGTGGT